GTTTTATTTGCTGACCATATATACCATATATACCTAAAAACCGTTTCAACACTGACACATTTTAAGGACTTTCTAAATGACAAATAGCACCGATTTTTGTGAGGATCAGGACACATACCTGAAGAACTGAAAATATGTCCCGAATACTGAACCTCTTTTAATAAAAAGTGACATTTTTCCACATTAAATTTCAAATTGACTTTTCTAGCCTTTTCAAAGATTTTCTTTAAAATATCATTTTGACCACCAATAGTTTCACTATAGACTAAAATATCATCCATCTGAATCAGAACTCCTCGAATACCACAAAAAAAAAACATACATTATTTTATGAAAAATTTCAGGTGCGCAAGAAACTCGATAAGGAAGGCGTAATAGTTATATAATATATTATAAGTGTATAATAGGGCCTTTAAAGCATGCGTGACATATTTCAAAACACGTCTCGGCTATGACAAACTCGACTTTGATATGCTTACCATTAATAATACAATTGATATTGCGTTTACCCAAAATTGGTATTGCATTATCTGAAAATGACATTAGCTTTACATTTGTCGGCACAATATCTTCATTAATATTTAATTTTTTAAATTTGTCAAAAGACATTACATTGGCTTATGCACCTGTATCGTATCCAAATCACATTTCAAAAGTGAATTATTGATTGTTACATCTAAAATCCATGCTTTTTTAGATTTTTGACACTGACTATAGTTATTTATCACTCTTATCACAAACATATCATTATCATTATCTTGGCCATGGTCTGGATTGTTAACATTTTCAACCGATTCTACAACAACGTATCTTATATTTTTCTTGAAATAATACTTGGCAAAATGTCCTTTACGCTGACAGTTATTGCATACAGCATCTTGTGCTGGACATTTATGTCTGTGAATTCGACCACACTTTTTACATGAACTTTGACTCACCTCATTGGTTGTGGAACGACTCTTCATTATGATTTTGACCATATCCATGTCCTAAACTTTGATGAAATCAAGACGTATTTCTTTGTTGACTCGCTGAAGACTGACCAGGAATCAGGATCTTTCTGTTTGTGAATTTTGTTTCCTTTATAATTCGATTATTGGCACCTAAACCAACAACAAACATATCCCTGATATGTCTAGTTTACAATTAAGGCTCAGGTTTTTGAGTACTGTCACAAATTCGTCGATTGACTCATCAGGCTTCTGACGTCTTGTTAAAAAAATTTGTCTTTCGACTGTTAGGTTTGTTTTTGGTTTGCAATGTGCTTCAAACCGATCGACTTAATCCTTAGGTATATGCACATGTGTCCATATTTACATTGTAAGAATTAAAAATAGAGTGAGCCTCAGGTCCAATATAATGAAAAAATATAGCTTTCTACTATCATCTTCATTATCTAAACCACTTGATTACCACAGACGCAGGGTTCCTATTGGGACTAGAAGTTCGAGACATATTGGTTATGTAAGTATCTGTTAACCTGCGAATACTCTCCACTGTCTATATGTTGTTCCTTCCGATTCCTGGACACTTTCAGCACTTAGATAACTAACACCATGTTGTGTTAGTGTCTTCAAGATGAGGGGATAATAATAATAATAATATAAGTTTAGTTAAACAGGACTTCTTTTAATAAATTAGGCAATTCAATCCGTCTGTCAAAAAGGAAAATTCAATATGGCGTGGCGGCCAAGCAAGTTTGTTTTGAATATGTTTTTATGCGTATTTTAAATTATTTCGCTTGGAGTTGTGCTTGCAACTTTGCTTTTGATTATTTGTTAAAATATTTGTTGACTAGGTACCTAAACTATTAAATCGGGCAGAAATTAGATATTTTTTTCGTGTTTTTTGGCCCATGTGTGGCCTCCACGCCATCTTGAGTGTCACGTGGTTTGAATTGCCTAATTGAAGAACTTAAAACGTTTCTGTGTGTCTGACTGTCACTATTTTCAAACTTCTGACAGACAGGTTACATTTTATAGTATAGGCAATGTTCCGCAGATACTAGTTGCTATATGGTATAGTATTTTTAATACCCATTTAGAATAAATCCATCCTTATTTATCAATCACAAATCAGATGAAACAAAAAATTACCAACAAAAACGAATGTCGATTGCTAATACGTCAAATTCATATACAAATAGGAAATTCCTAACTTAATTTTTTCATTTGTGTGTTCAAGAAGCGACATACGCTAGTCACAGTGGCGCACCCAAGAGGGGGGTTTTGGGGGTTAAACCCCCCCCCCCCCCCCGAAATTAAGCACTGGTACAAAGAATTTTCCGGTAAAAATATTTTTATTGCGATTTTGGTTAGTAAGTACCTACAAACTTTCCATTTTACATAAATAAATATCCTATTTACGTTACGTGAAATTACTGAAATCTGGAATCGAAACCAAGAACATGGAAATCGCACGGCCCGGCATCGTACATCGTACATCGCAATTCGCGGTCATGTAAAGGTGCATTTCCACCAAGCAGGCAAAATTATTGCAAATTTGCCAATGATCAGCAACGTTTGTGAACAAATTTATTTGATTGGTGGAGACGGATTTGAGAATGTTTGCAACCATGTGGGAAACTGTCTTTTCTTTAAATACACATGATTATAAAAACAGTGGCGGTGACAATAGCTTTTTTTCGCGCAGCTCTTTTGTTGCGAGCATTCGTTTTAATTGCTTTTTGATGGAAATGCTCCTTCACGATTTCTTGCAGGTTGCAATCGGCTCCCGTACCCGTACGTGTAACGTAAAAAAACTCGAAGCTTGGAGAAATCTTCCATATTTTTGTCACTCGTCGCGTCGTAAATTAAAGAAAAAATAGCCAGTGTGTGTTAGTTTTTTTGTTTACCTATACCTATTTTAGTTGAATATTATAGCTACAACATTGAAAATATCAAAGCGGCAGTTAAGTCCGATTTATAGATTCCGTAACGTAACCGTAACGCAACAGTAACGCAGCAAAACGCAAGCATTTTAAAAATTACAATTTATACATTTCTCACGTTACGTTTGGCACATGCGTCGTAAATTGTTAAAAATCAGTGATTAATTGTTACATTTACAATATTTACGTTGATTTTTTTGATACTGAAGGCCTCAATGGTCTCAGTTTAGGTTTGCCCAGCATCCCGGAGGTATTTTCATTTTAGTATTTTTGAAATGTTTGGTTATGTTGAGTGTTGTTGAGTTTTCATTGGTCAAACACAAGAACGCAACGTAACGCGACGTAAAAAGTTGAAAGTTGGCCAACTTTTACGTTACGTCACGGAGATACGGTTGCGTTTAAATATAAATGGCTTCATTTAAATGTGTATGTTTAACTTCTTACGGTTGCGTTACGGTTACGTTGCGTCTATCTATAAATCGGGCTTTAGATATGTTGGACTTTTTTTCAAAAAAGCCTAATTACATCTGTGTTTTTTCCGTGTATTTATTCATGTAGTTCAGGATGCCAACATTATTTTGTTTTTCATAATGCTGGAATGTTGCGTTTGAAGTTTTTCGGTTGTCACCCTGAACTACATAAATAAATACACGGAAAAATACACAGATGTAATACGGGCATAAGGGTAATTTGCAAGTTACAGAAGAACCTGGAAAAGAACGTCAAAATATTGAAGGCTCTAAAGGTAAGCACCCAGTGTTTATTTGTTTTTTCGTTGTTTTGTCAAGCTTAGAGCCAAATTATGGACCTACTGGTAACGTCACTGGCAAATTTACATGGGAAAAACTAAAACCTAACCTAAATCTAAGAAAATGAGAATTATCTTAATTATTGGTCTTTTAATTTATTTTTTCATTTAAATATTTCTTAAAATAAGTTAGGTACTTTAATATTTCGGGTGGCCTTCATCATTTTGAAAGCCCCCCCCCCCCCAAATAAAAAACCTGGGTGCGCCACTGCTTAGTCACTAGAACTTAGAGCAGGTAAAGGTAAAAAGGAGTAGTAACCTAGATTTGGAAAATGAAGCCGTTTTTTCCAGGTATTTTGGCACCAAGAAAATGGCGCTTATGGCAATTCAATGCTTTACCTGTATCTTGATGCCAAACACCTGCCAAAAATTTGGCTCACAAAACATCCCCCCTTTTTGTGATTTGGCTTCACTTTAGTTTCATAAGCAGAATGGCGCGTTCCTACTCCTTATGTCGCGCTTTCCTGCTCTAAGCACTAGAACGACTGGTACTTCTAAATAGGTATTATAATAGTATATTAAAATACAAGTTGCAGAAGGCCACATATTCCCGCACGAATTTGAAATTTGGCCACGAGCGACGAAGGAGCGAGTGGACGAACGAATGAGTGCGAGAATAGCCTTCTGCAACGTGTGTTTTATACTATTTTCTCGATTTTGGATTTTATTTTTCATTTTTTAAATTTTTTTTGTGAACGCTGTTAGTTGGGGATTTTTTATTTTCAAAATATGTCAGTTGGTGACACTTTACTTACCAACCAACTTACAGGTGGATTCTATCATTTTAGAAGGTTCGACAATTTTGAAAGTACCAATGGTACCAATAGGTATACTTTGAAAACTAAATGTCACTAAAAATCGTTTAAGAATGAGCTTCATTCTTCAACGATTTTGCGTGCGGGAATAATGACATTCTCACATCAAAATCGAGAAATTCTATACTTATGGAGTTATACAACAGAATCAAGAACTTATTCTATGATCAAGAATCTGTCAAGTTTTGGCAGGATAGCTGTTGGCAATTGTGCTTTCCTACTACTTTGTCATCAAAAATGCAACTTTGTTTGTAAGTAACTATTTCGAAATACGTGCCCACTATAAAAATTAGCAAATATAATGCGTATTGCATTGGTGGTTTCATAAATATTCAAGAAATTTATTGACAGTAGGTAATAATTATTTTAATTTATTTCCAGTAACATTTCTTAGCAATAACGATGAAAAAAATCTATTCCATAAAAATTTGCTGAAGGAGGCAAAAACAACCAAGTGAAAATTAAAAGATGTTTCTTTTTGTTTCAGATTCTTAGTCTTGTGCTCTTACCAACCAGAAACTTTGACCGTCCGGGCCGGAATCAGTTTACCAAACGCAAATCGCGGACAAGTTCAAATCCACCCAGCTTCAGATATCGACGATGAAGAAGACAACTATTTGGGAAGACGATCGAGGAATTTACGTTTGGGGAGAGTCATGCAAAAACCGGAAGCTTTAGGTAAGATTTTGTACTCAATCTTTTTAATCCACCTACTTTGTCAAATGAGATACGGTTTACGCAAACTGATAATGTGTTAATATAGCCATAAGCAAATTCAAAGTAGTAAACCTATTAGTTATAAAGTACTTCCTGTATTAGACATTGCACCAGTGCTCTTCAGAATGGGCAAAAACCAAAACTGGGTTACAGGACACTGTTTCCTATCAGAAGTCGTTCGTCACGTTTCCATATTCGGTTTTACACACATAGAAAGCATAAAGCCAAACTGTCGTGTCTATTATGGCGTGGCTAATGCGTGTATAGTAGATAAATAAATCGTTACAAATTACTATGAATCTAATAAACGTCCAAAGCCATTTATTTATATTTTTGATGCTTTAAATTACTTATGCAGTTTGTTTATTGATTATTAGGCTTTTATGGGTTATAACTTTGTTTCCCGAGCAATTAACATTATCGTAAATGTTTACATAAGTAAATGGGGTTGAGAATAACAAGGAAACGACCACTTCTTGATGTTTACCGATTAGAATATTAACATCCAAATAATGGTAGTGACTATAGTTGTTTTTTCCTATGCAGCATTTTTCTTGCTTTTTTCAAAAATTCTGATTGGCTCTTGCCGAGTTCAAATTCTTATTGAAATAATAACTAACTTATTCATATGTAAAACAATTTCTCAGAAATGTTTCATCAGTAGGTAAATGCCTCATGAGAAATTATTCAGCGATGCGAGTACCTATGTAATTATTTTAAAAACTACATTGCAGCTGACAGTTGAATGTGAACTGTACGCAAATTTTATTCTCAGATAAGTATATCTGTTTAAAAAATTACAAACAAACGCTAATTGCCTAATTACCTAATTAATAACAATAACACCTTAACTTAGAGGAATCTCTTCCTCGGCAATAAACTGTAAAGCCGTTTAATAATAATTGCCGATTATATTACCTAAACAATGGCCAGGTATATTTCATAATGTCTAATTTCAATGTCTCATCCTCCAGACCTAACTGCACTTGAAATCCCACGATTCTAGCAAATTGCTAATGTGAGAATTTTACAAGAACGAACTTAACCTTCTACATCACGTTTTGTATGTACGTTTTAAGGCATACATATCAATTTGTTGCTTGTATTAGATCTAGCTATTTACAAGTAGGTGGAATAAATCTTGGTGAGGTTTGATAGCCTACTATTAAAAGGATATTATATGATTGGGAAAAACTATATTTGTTGTGTTTTGGTTTTATTAGAAGTGGCCTTAGATTTGTCGTTTTTGTAAAATTGCAGGACATCTTACCAGGTTTTGTATGAAAAATAATAATCGCAATCAAACCCATCAAATTTTTCAACTCTGTGGTTTGGTACCATCGATCACCTTCAGTGTCTCAAAACCCTCATAGAAAAGAGTAATGAATAATATGACTGACTACAACCGTCTTTTGGTATTGGTGTTTGTAAACTTCTAAAAAGCGTTCGACACCGTGGAACTTCCTGCAATCTTGAGATCACTACAAGAAAGTAGAGATGATCACCGATATTGCGAAATCATTAACAACCTAGATGGAAAAGACCGCGCCGTAAATCTTCACTCCACCACCAGAAAAATTAAAATCAAAAGGGGAATACGACAGGGTGACACTATGTCACCCAAGCTGTTCATCATAGTTCTTGAACATGCTTCTAAGAAATTGCCTTGGAAGAGAAAAGGAATAATCATCGAGGGGGAAAATCTTAATAATCTTCGCTTTGCAGATGATATTGTCTATTATCAGACATTCTGGGCGCTAAAGAAATGCTCCAGGAACTTCAAAACTCCACGCAAGAAGTGGACCTAAAGACGAACTTCTCCAAAACCAAAATGATGACAAATCTGGTTCTCAGTGAGCAAATTCAGATAGGCAATAATAACATAGAAATAGTGGACTGGGTCATGAGATAAGAATTCACAGAGATAACTGTTGCCTATCGGACTGTCAACAGTGGCAACACTGGGAATAAACTAAAAAAGAATACACCTTGACAAGAAGAAATGTTCTCCGAGCTGTCATATGTTTTCCTAGTTGTCATTTGTTTTCCTAATTATCATATTAGGCCTGTTCGCAGAACAATCACAAACCAGTCAGAGTGAATCTCATTGGTTGAAAAAAGTTTTCTGACTGTTTCTGATTGTTTTCCACCAATGAAATTTGCTCTGACTGGTTTGTGATTGCTGTGCGAACAGGCCTATTATGTTTTGCTAGTTGTCATGGTTTCACCCTTTTCAACACGTTTAATCAGTTTCCAATGTATTCATCGTTAATGTATGTTGTATGTCTTATTCTCATAGAGAATAAAGAGTTGCATTACATAGTGTTGTTCGTGTTGCTGTACTGAGTGTTATTCCTACCACCTACCACCTACCACGGACATAACATTTTTGGCGACGTGGATGGGATTGCGTCGACCGTAATCGTCAAGATTTGCATCGAAACGTTAAATTACCCAGTGTAGTTATGGCGGCGTTAGGAAATAATGAACAATTTAACGTAAAACGTAAAAAAAGAGTTTTTCTTCATAGCAAATGAAATTACCACAGAAGGAAAGAAAAGGGCAGTTTTTCTTAGTTTGTGTAGACCCTCCACGTTTGATATCCTTCGCACACTAGTTGCGCCAGCCAAGGTGACCGATAAGTCGTATGCAGAAATCACAAAAGTCTTGAAAAAACAGTTTGTACCTCAAAACTCAGAAATAACTTGTCGGTTCAAGTTTTACCAAGGAAATCAAAAACCCAGTGAGAATATTAAAGTTTATGTCAAAGAGCTCCGGCACCTTACTGAAAATTGTGGTTTTGGTACGGCCCTGGGAAACCATGCTACGGCCATAGACTGGTGTGTGGGGTGTGTGATGAAGATCTCCAGCGCCGGCTGCTAGCGATAAGAGATATTGATTTTGAAAAAGCACTGGATTCCTGCATCGCTCACGAAGCAGCCTGCCACGCCTTTTCGCTGATTAAAAAGTTTGGAAAGAAAAAAAAAATAAAAAAAAAATAATAAAAATAAAAATAAAAATTTAAAAAAAAAAAAATTTTTAAAAAAATAAAAAAAAATAAAAATTAATGAAGAACTTGAGATTGTAGGACTGAAGGTCGAAGTGCGTGCAAACACTTCAAACTATGCCCTAGCCCAGAATTAAACACTAGGGATCTTGCATGAAAAATTAAATTGATAACTGTTTATTGCAAACTATAGAAAATCGAAAAAAATTCTATGCGTATTTTTTTTATTTTGTCCAAAATGATTATTCCGAAAGTTATACAAAGATTAAGTTTTGTATATATGTATAGATATACTGAGCATGGTGTGACGTCATAGGATATGAAAAATAAGTACATTTCAAAGCGTTGTATCTTCGTCAATTTTTGTCTGAAAAAAAAAACACGTGTTGACTTATTTTTCATTGAAAAACGAAATCCGCAAAAGGTGAGGCCAAAAAAGATCATTCGGCCGAGGTGCACACAAAATTTTTTAGGCGAGTGTTTGTTCTTGAAAAAAGAAGAAAATTTAACAGTAGCTTTAAACTTTATTGATCAGATAAATAATCCAGCAAAGATAGGTAGATACACAATTATTAATAACAAAAACTACGATAAAGAGAGTGTGAATATAGAAAATTGCCGACTTTTTCGCCTGGTATCTTACATTGAGCTTTTTTAAAAAAGCAATCAATTTTGAAAACTTGCTGATATGTTAGGTTTTTCCGACTATAATTGTAAATTTTAAACTAGATTATAACATAGGTGGACCTGAAGACCATAACGTTGAGGATTATTTAATTTTGGAATTTTCCGAAAAAAATGCAAGAAAATACTTCTCCCAAATTTTTAATCAAGCCGTTTTTTTTTTAGCATTTTATGTGGAAATTTGGATAGAGGTAAAATTAAAAACTTGGTTTCATTATGGTTGCTAACTAATTGTTTATTGGATGTGTTGATGGTTACGGCACTGCGTTTCCGATTGTTTGTTTATTTTCACCAAAGTAGCGCAGCGGCCGTAAAGTAAAAGCGGCCGTGAAGTAAAAGCGGCCGTAAAGTAATAAAGCAAATGCGGCCGTGAAGTAAATGCGGCCGTAAAGTAAATGCGGCCAAAAAAGATATACTTTAGGGATGATATTGAATCCGTAAAACTAATCTTTTTGTGACAGTCGCCTAAAAACTAGGTTGTGTGCATAAAACCTAAGTATTGTTATTCTTTGATTCCTTAGCAACTATTGAAACATAATTGAAATACCAGAATATTGAGTTTTGCGACCTGTCAACCGGTCAAAAATGTTGACATTTCTTGTCAATTGCAGAAAAAAATTGAATAATAATGTATTTATGATAATAATTAATTCGATAAGATGAAATCATATAAAGCTTTAATAGAATAGAAATCAAACGAGAAGAAGCCACACGCGTTATCGTTTGTTTCACTTTACATGAGATGGACCCAGCGAAAAGGAAATCTGCTTTCTTTGTCAGCGCTGATGACAACGGTGTTTCTTCTCGTTTGATTTTTACTCTAGTAAGTAAAGAAAATGTGCCTCGAGTTTGCAAAGATTGAGGTTAATAAGGTTTTGTTTTTACCTGTTGGAAATAGGGTTTTTTTTGCCTCGAAAATACTCTGGAAGTCTGGATCGAGGTCTGGATTCGATATCCTGGAGTGAGTGAGATGTTACTCTACTCTTTAGGGCAGCTTTTAACTAATGATTGAATGGAAAAATTCAGAATCTACTGTGACAAAAAAACATGCACAGCAAAACTTACCACAGGATGTTGTAAAAATCCGTATTAATCAGCGAAAATTATAACACTCTACAAAAATGTAAGGCAACAAAATGTGTTATAAATTCAATTGAGAATATAAGGTCGAAATCCCACAAGGGCAAAGACAATTTTCAAAAAAGAGTAAAAAGATCTTATTTCTTCAACGTCCAGATGTGAAAAGAAATGTGCTACACCTAAAATTAAT